TGGAGTCGCACAGATGGGGGACTGGAATGAGAGCAAGTGCTCACACGCCCTTCCTGGTGAAATCCTGATGCCACGGACGATTTGACTCGCGTTAACCGCCCCTCATCCACACAACCAGGTCTCTAACCTGTGCTGCCCCTCATCCACACAGCCAGGGCCTGGCCATCATCCGCCTGGGTCTCTAACCTGTGCTCGCTCTCATCCTCACAGCCAGGGCCCAGCTTGTGTCCACCTGGGTCTCTAGCCTGTGCTGCCCCTCATCCACGCAGCCAGGGGCCAGCATCTGCCTGGGTCTCTAACTTGTATCTCTCTCCCCTCATCCAGGTCTCCTTCTCACAGTACAGCAACGTGGTCGTCTTTGGGGTGCCACAGATGGTGAGTGTGTGTCCTGTCCTGCGTCCAGTCACGGTTCTGACCATCCTGCTCCATGGTCCTCCTGTCTGTCTGTCCACTCACATGATGCTTGCTTCCTGGAGGCTAGGATGGTGGGGAGCTGGGTGGCTCTGTGCTGTCATGTGGGCATCAGAGCAGCGAGGTCCAGCTGTGATGAGAGGCCCTGCGGGGGTGCAGGTTTACTTCCAGGAAGGTCTCCGTTACCTACCTAAGTGTCCAAGTGCAGCTCATGGCTGCTGGATGTGGCCTCGGGCCCTACGTCCCCTGGGAGCTGTTTGTACAAGTTTACCTGCCAGTGTTGTGGGGGCCCGGTGGGGTGTCCCCTTCCATCTGTGAGTCCTCTGGCAACTTGGATTTGTGTGGGGACATTTCCCTGTGATTTGGGTAAAACTTCCCATCCAATAACTTACACACATTTTGTGACATTGACTGTGATCCCTCAGTTATTGTGACATTGACCGTGACCCTCAGTTATGGTGTCAGTGGCTGTTTTTTCTTACTGTGATATTGGCTGTGACCCTCAGGTACTGTGACATTGACCGTGACCCTCAGTTACCATGACATTGGCTATGACCCTCAGTTATTTAGACATTGACTGTGACCCTCACTTCTTGTTACAATGACTGATCCCTTGGTTCCTGTGACGTTGACCGTGATCTCTGAGTTTCTGTGACATTGATCATGACTCCTCAGTTCCTGTGACATTAAGCATGACTCCTCAGTTCCTGTGACATTGACTGTGACCCTCAGTTCCTGTGACATTGACTGTGACCTTCAGTTTCTCTGGGGAGATTGGGAGGATGGCACAGGATGGGACAGGATTCTGATCTGTTGTTCATTGGTCAGTGTGAGTTATATTGGACCTGAGGGCACCTAAAACAACAGTCATCAGCAGTGGCCTGCACAGATTCCCCCCCTTTATGACCTTACTGTCCCTGGCCTCTTGTCTGGTCACCAGCACTGTTACTGCTGCATTTGAGAGCAAGATGCTTTTCAGGTCAGTGTTTTCTTTTTATTTTTTTTTATTTTGTGTGCGTGTACCGTCAAATCAGATCTGACTGGTACAGGAGGAGATTGTTCCTCCTTCTCCAGCAGAGCATCTGGTGGATTCGAACCGTGCACCTCTGGGATTGCTGTGCACCTTCTTGCCACTAGGCCACCAGAGCTCGCCTAGGTCAGTGTTTTCTAAAGACTGTGACAGAGAGCAGCAGTTCTGTGATGTGACAAGATGAGCAACTTGGGAGTGGATGCTGCGGGCTGGGGGCGGAGCCTGTGCTGGCCCGATGTGATGCTCTCACAGCGAGTGCGGCCCTGAGG